GATAATAACTTACACCTGCTAGAATGGCCATTATCAAAAACATTAGAAATAACAAGCGTTGGTGAGAATGTGGAGGAAAAGGAACCCTTGTACTATTGGCGGAAATTTAAATTGGTACAGCCACTATGAAAAATAGTATGCAGCTTCCTCAAAATATTAAAAATAGAAATGCCATACGATTCAATAATTCCACTACTGGGTATCTGTCCAAAAAAAAAATAAATAAATAAAAACACTAATTCAAAGAGATATATGCACTCCTTTGTTTACTGTAACATTCTTTTTAATAGCCAAGATATGAAAAAACCTAAGTGTTCATCAACAGATGAATGGATAAGTAAGAGGTGGTGTGTATATATACAAACAGATACTACACAGCCATAAAAGAAGGAGAAGATCATGTCATTTAAGACAACATGGATGGACCCAGAGGATATTACACTAAGTGAAATAAGTCAGACTGAGAAAGAAAAATACCATATGATTTCACTCATAAGAATCTAGGGGGGAAAAAAAGAAGAAACGAAAAGCAGAACCAAACCTATAACCAGACAACAAACTGATAGTTGCCAGAGAGGTAGGGGTGGAAGGTTGGGCCTAATGGGTGAAGCAAGTGAGAGATACAGGCTTCCACTTACGGAATGAACAAACTATGGGAATAAAAGGCACAGCATAAGGAATATAGTTAATGACTCTCTGCCTGCCTCTCTGCCTACTTGTGATCTCTGTCAAATAAATAAATAAAATCTTTAAAATAAAGGGGGGGGGGCGCCTGGGTGGCTCAGTGGTTTAAGGCCTCTGCCTTCGGCTCAGGTCATGATCCCGGGGTCCTGGGATCGAGCCCCGCATCGGGCTCTCTGCTCAGCGGAGAGCCTGCTTCCTCCTCTCTCTCTGCCTGCCTCTCTGCCTACTTGTGATCTCTGTCTGTCAAATAAATAAATAAATAAAATCTTTAAATAAATAAATAAATAAATAAATAAAAGGAATATAGTTAATGATATTGCAATAACAATGTATCAGGATAGATGGTAGATACACTTATGGTAAACACAGCACAATATTGCAAACATTTGGAATCACTAAGTTGTACACCTGAAACTAAAATAACATATTGTCAACTATATTTAAAAAAAAAAAAGAGGCAGTTAAATCTGGGAGAAAATGTGGGCAAACACATATGTAATAAAGGACTTGTACCCACTACACAAAAAACTTTCAAAACACTGAAAGAAAACCCAGTAAAAAATTGGGAGAATAAATTTTGACAAACATTTCACCAAAGAAAATACATAGAGGCCAAATAAACACACGAAAATATGCTTATAGCATTAGTCATTATAAAATGCAAAGTAATACCAATGGCATTTTCCAAAATGCTGGAACAAAAAATCCTAAAATTTGTATGGAACCAGAAAAGACCCCAAATTGCCAAGGAAATGTTAAAAAAGAAAAACAGGGGCACCTGGGTGGCTCAGCAGGTTAAAGCCTCTGCCTTCGGCTCAGGTCATGATCCCAGGGTCCTGGGATCGAGCCCCACATCAGGCTCTGCTCAGCGGGGAGCCTGCTTCCCTTCCTCTCTCTGCCTGCCTCTCTGCCTGCCTGTGATCTCTGTCTGTCAAATAAATAAATAAAATCTTTAAAAAAAAAAAAAAAAAGAAAAACAAAGCTGGGGGCATCAAGTTGCAGGATTTCAAGCTATATTACAAAACTGTGATCACCAAGACAGCATGGTACTGGCACAATGGAATAGAAAAGAGAGCCCAGATATGGGCCCTCAACTCTATGGTCAACTAATCTTCAACAAAGCAGGAAAAAAATATCCAATGGAAGAAAGACGTCTCTTCAATAAATCGTGCTGGGAAAAATGGACAGCTACATACAGAAGAATGAAACTGGACCATTCTCTTTTACTACACACAAGATAAACTCTAAATGGATGAATGACCTCAATGGGAGACAGGAACCATCAAAATCCTAAAGGAGAACATAGGCAGTAACCTCTTTGACTTCGGCCACAGAAACTTTTTTCAAGACACGTCTCCAGAGGCAAGGGAAACAAAAGCGAAAATGAACTTTTGGACTTCATCAAGATAAAAAACTTCTGCACAGCAAAGGAAACAGTCAACAAAACAAAGAGGCAACCCCGAAAGGGAGAAGATATTCGCAAATGACCATACAGACAAAGGGCTGATATCTAAGATCTATAAAGAACTTCTTGGGGCACCTGGGTGGCTCAATGGGTTAAGCCTCTGCCTTTGGCTCAGGTCATGATCTCAGGGTCCTGGGATCAAACCCTGCATCGGGCTCTCTGCTCAGTGGGGAGCCTGCTTCCCCCTCTCTGCCTGCCTCTCTGCCTACTCATGATCTCTGTCAAATAAATAAATAAAATCTTTAAAAAAAAAAAAAAAACCTTCCCCAACTCAACACCCAAAAAACAGATAATCAAGTCAAAAAATGGTAGAAGACATGAGCAGACACTTCTCCAAAGAAAACATACAAATGGCTAACAAACATGAAAAAGTGCTCTATATCACTCGGCATCAGGGAAATTCAAATCAAAACCACACTGAGATACCACCTTACACCAGTTAGAATGGCAAAACTGACACGGCAACAAACAACAAATGCTGGAGAAGTCGTAGAGAAAGGGGATCCCTCTTACACTGTTGGTGGGAATGCAAATTGGAGTAGCCATTTTAGAAAACAGTGTGGAGGTTCCTCAAAAAGTTAAAAATAGAGCTACCCTATGACCCAGCAATTGCACTACTGGGTATTTACCCCAAAGATACAGATGTAGTTAAAAGAACAGCCATATGCACCCCAGTGTTCATAGCAGCAATGTCCACAATAGCCAAAATGTGGAAAGAGCCAAGAAGCCCTTCAACAAATGAATGGATGAAGAAAATGTGGTTCATATACACAATGGAATATTACTCAGCCATCAGAAAGGATGAATACCCAACTTTTGCATCAATTTGGATGGGACTGGAGGACATTATGTTAAGTGAAATAATTCAAACAGAGAAAGCCAATTATCAAATGGTTTCACTTGTTTGTGGAACATAAGGAATAGCATGGAGGACATGAGGAGTAGGGAAAAATAAAGAGGGAGAAATTGGAATGGGAGACAAACCATGAGAGACTATGGACCCCAGGAAACAAACGGAGAGTTTTAGAAGGGAGTGGGGGTGGGGGTAATGGCTGAGCATGGTGATCGGTATTAAGGAGCGCACAGATTGCATGGAGCACTGGGTGTTATACACAAACAATGAATCATGGAACACTACATCAAAAACTATGTACTATCGTAACACAATAATAAATAAATAAATAAATCTTCAATGAGATATCACTATATATGTATGTGAATGACTAAAATTTAAAGGAATGACTCTATCAAGGGTTAGCAAGGATGTGAAGTAACTAGAACTGACACACATTGCTGGGTGAGAATATAAAATGGTAGATACAATCACTCTGGAAAAGTTTGGCAGTTTCTTAAAAAGTTAAGCATTAACCTATCATATGAAGTAGTCATTCCACTCCTAGGTATTTACCCAAAAGAAAGTGTATGTCCACACAAAGACATAGAGTTTTATGTTTAACAGCCAAAAACTAGCAACAATCTAAATATCCATTAGCAGGTGATAAATGGATAAACGAAGTGTGGTATACCCAGACAGTGGAATTCTACCTTAGCAAAAGGAATAAATTACTGACACATACAACACGGATGAATCCTGAAATAATTATATTAAGAGAAGTCAAACCTAAAGGAGTACAAAATATATGATTCCATTTATATAAAAATTAGTTTGTAGAAAATACAAACTAATCTATCATGACAAAGTAAGTGGTTTCTTGGGGCACCTGGGTGGTTCAGTCGATTAAGCAGCTGACTTCAGCTCAGGTCATGATTCCAGGGTCCTGGGACCGAGCCCCATGTCCGGCTCCCTGCTCAGCGGGGAGCCTGCTTCTCCCTCTCCCTCTGCCTGCTGCTCTGCCTACTTGTGCTCTCTGTCAAATAAGTAAATAATATCTTAAAAAAAAAAAATAAAGTAAGTGGTTTCTCGTAGATGACTGAGCTGGTAAAGGTAAGAGAATTACAAAGAGATATGAGGAAACTTTAGGGATAATGGGTATATTCAGTATCTTGATTGTAGTGGTGATGGTTTAATTAGTATATATACATGTCAAATTTTATCAAATTGTACATTTTCAATATGTGCGGTTTAGTGTATCTCAATTAAGCCTTACAAAATCCCTTTTAAAAAATAATCTGAGGCGCGTGGGTGGCTCAGTTGGGTAAGCATCTGACTTCAGCTCAGGTCATAATCTCGGGGTCCTGGTATTGAACCCCACTTCAGGCTCCCCGCTTGCCCCTCTCCCTCTGCCTCTCCTCCCATTCACACATGCACTCTCTCTCTCCTATAAAATCTTTTTTAAAAATGTAGTATTACCTTTTCCTTTCATCTCTAAAACAAAAATGGTATTTCTTTCCTTCCTACCTTTGGTAATATTACATCTAAAACATTATAGAACTAAATTTTTTCCCATATTCTTTACATTTTCAAACTGAACCCTTAGAATTCGATATTAGGCACAGATGTTAAAGTTACAAGGATACAAATACACTGATAAGAATATTTTTCCCAACCACCTAATTCCACAACCCAATTACAGTCAGAAGTCCTGCCCCTGCTATTTCCCTTTACAGGAGGATACCTATGACTCCAATCATCTCCTTCTTCATCACTATGACCCAAAAACACCTTTGAAAACAATACTGCCACTATCGCACCCTTTAAACTTCCACACTGCCTTTTTTGCTTTCCATCTCCCATTTTTCCTTGGTAACTAAAAATTATATCTATACTTCTAGTTTCATTTTTTCATATCTACCAAATTTTTATTTATTTTTGAAAGATAAACATGTCAGAGTATATCAGTTTATATCTTATAAACATGTAAGAGTAAGAAAAGTATTTCTACACACTTACCTCAAGCACTGGTCCAGCTCCAAGAATAATTTGTTCCACTCCACTGGCAAATCCCTTCTGACTGAGAGCAGTAAGGTGGTGAATAAGAAAGTTTGTGCTTTGAGTCTTTCCAGAACCACTCTCTCCTGAAATCACGATGCACTGATTCTTTTTGCGCTGAAGCATGGCATGATAAGCTACGTCAGCCACAGCATAAATATGGGGCTCCAGTTTTCCCAATTGGTGATTATCATACATTTTGACATATTTGGGATTATAAATAGGAAGAAACTTGAATGGGTTAATAACTATTAGAATACTGCCAACATAGGTGTAAATTTTTTCATGCTTAAAGCGATTTCGTAGGTTTTCTAAAAGAGTTTTCTCATTCAAATCAGGTAAGCTACATAAATCATCAAAGTCTTTCTGTTGAGGCTGTGGAAGAAAACCCCGTTCCATCATCCTGCGGCGTTCTTCTGTCACCCGTAGCCATGACTGCAGACTACCATAATGGATTGATCCATCAAGGTTTTTTTCTCTCAGAAGAAAGCGGTAGTCCTCTCCACTCAGGCGATTTTCCAGAGCCATCCGAGGCCACAACATCATTCGCTGAACTGGACAGTCTGTTGGATTGAGTATCCATTCTTCTCCACCAAATTCCTTTACTTCTGCAAGAACATAACATTTTGTTTTGTCAAGATGAAGTCTGTTTATAAGAGAGTCGATCACCTCAGCAGCTGTGGAGTTTTTTCTGGCAGGAATTGGACAGTAGATAGTCCCTTCTGAAATTGTCCCAGGATATATACGTAATGTATGTTCATTATCCTCAAAGCGTCGTCTTCCTCCATCATTTATATTCATATTGGACTCTGTCCCATCAGCATGGATAGTATGTGTTCAAGACCGTGCAAACCATTTTCGTGGCAAAAGAACTGGAACATAAAAAGTGTGAAACATTTAGAAATCATATTACACAACCTTCACTTTCTGATGCTCAGGAAAGGCTTAAATCATTTCATCACATCATTTAGAACATAAAACCCTAACTCTTAGTCTAGAAACAGTCTTGAAAACAGTCTCATCAAGACCACATAATATTACATTTTATCATCCAAATCTGGACACTTTCTAAAATAGCAACTTGCCAAAGATTTTTTTTCCAAGTTTTATTATACTAATAATTTAAAATCCAGAGTATCAATAAAAAATTATTTTATCCTCTACTATCTCAAATGTTTCTAAAGTACCTGAGATTGGAGTCAAGTTCTTTCTTTATATTTGAAGGAACCTCAACAAAGCTGAATTAAAATGGGCAGAAAAATCAGGCAAATATAATCACCCTGCACCCAAAGTTCTTGGGGATAAAGCAAAAACAAGAAAGAATGCCACCAATGAAGCCAAATTTTTGTGAAATTAAAACAGTAAGAAGATGAAATTAACAACACAGGAAACAACAGGTGTTGGCAAGGATGCAGAGAAAGAGGAACCCTATTACACTATTGGTGGGAATGAAAACTGGAGCAGCCACTCTGGAAAAAACAGTATGGAAGTTTCTCAAAAAGTTAAATGGGGAGCCTGCTTCTCCCTCTCTCTCTGCCTGCCTTTCTGCCTATTTGTGATCTCTCTCTGTCAAATAAATAAATAAAACCTTTTAAAATTTAAAAAAAAAAAAACAGAACTACCCTATGATCCAGCACTACTAGATATTTACCCAAGGATACAAAAATACTAATCAAGGGGATACATGCACCCCAATATTTACAGCAGCATTATCAACAAAAGCCAAATTATGTAAAGAGCCCAAATATCCACCAACTGATGAATGGATAAAAAAGGTGGACATTAATATTCCATTATATATATATAATGGAATATTACTTGGCCATAAAAAAGAATGAAATCTTGGGGCACCTGGGTGGCTCAATAGGTTAAGTGTCCAACTCCTGATTCTGGCTCTGGTCATGATCCCAGGATCCTGAGATCAAGCCCCAAATCTGGCTCCCTGCTCAGCAGGAAGTCTACTTAAGATTCTCTCTATGTCTCTCTGCTCCTCCCCCCACTCATGCATGCTCTCTAAAATAAATAAATCTTTAAGGAAAAAAAAAAGAAATGAAATCTTGCCATTTACAACAACATGGACAGAGCTAGAAAGTAATTTTTTTAAAAGATTTTTTAATTTGTTTGACACAGAGAGAGACAGCAAGAGAAGGAACACAAGCAGGGGGAGTGGGAGAAGGAGAAGCAGGCTTCCCACCAAGCAGGGAACCCAATGCAGGGCTTGATCCCCAGACCCTGGGATCATGACCTGAGCCAAAGGCAGAAGCTTAACAACTGAGCCACGGAGGCACCCCAGAGCCAGGAGTATTATGCTAAGTGAAAGAAGCTAGTCAGAGAAAAACAAATACCATGATTTCACTCATGTGGAATTTAAGAAACTGAAAACAAATGAACATGGAGGCAGGAAAGAGAGGCAAACCAAGAAATACACTCTTAACTGTAGAGAACAAAATGATGGTTACCAGAGGTGGGGGTGGGGGGGGATGGGTTATGCAGCTGATGGGAATTAAGGAGCACACTTGTGATGAACACTGGGTGTGGTATATAAGTGCTGAATCACTAAAATCTACACCTGAAACAAATGTTGCACTGTATGTTAACTATAGTTTTAAATAAAAACTTAAAAAAAATAAGATCAAATAAACAGAAAAACTAAACTAGATAAAATTATAACACTCTGATATGAGGAAGTTGAGAGGCAACATAGGGGATTTGGAGGGTAGGAAAAGAATAAATGAAACAAGATGGGATCGGGAGGGAGACAAACCATAAGAGACTCTTAATCTCACAAAACAAACTGAGGGTTGCTGGGGGGAGAGGGGTAGGGAGAGGGTGGTGGGGTTATGGACATTGGGGAAGGTGGTATGTGCTATGGTGAGTGCTGTGCAGTGTGTAAACCTGGCGATTCACAGACCTGTACTCCTGGGGCTAATAATATATGTTAATTAAAAAAATTTAAAAATTTAAAAATATATATAAATGGCCAATAAACATATGAAAAAACTGTTAAAAAATTATAACTAAGAGAATTGTAAGAGAAACCTATTTTATGGATAATATTTTCAAGGACTTTTGGGCTCTGACTCTCCACCACCCCTAAGTGGTGAAGTAAGGCAGTCAACAATAAGATCCTGCCACTGGCTTGCCAAACAAAGCTGATAAAATTATACAACAAAATACTACTATAAATTTTATTCAACCTTCCCTTTCCTTCAAGGCTAATTTTTTATCTGACCTTATTTCATTCCTTACAAATATTCTGCATATTCTTCCAATCTTCTCAAACCCCACATACGTAACAACCCGAGAATGATTTCAACTCTGATAACTCGCTGAGAAAATAATGTCTTTTCCAATTCAAAACTTATTTCTATTTGCATCTCATCTCTGCTTTCCTATTCCAGTTTACATAAGAAATATATTCCACATCTTTTCAGGGCTAATAAAACCTATTTCTTATCATCTCCATCAGTAACTTGCCCCAACAAAAAAATCATCCTCATGTGTTATCACTCTTTCCCTTTTTAATTTATTTCACCCTTTGACATATAAAGATGCCATGTTATTTTCTAAAAGTAACTTCAGTTACTTCTCTCTCATATTACTGCACATTACTACATCCTCAAATGAAGAAACTTTGTTTACCTTTTTCCTAGATGATCTTTCAAACACAGAATATTACAGAATGTATAAAAAGCAGTCACACACATGAAAAAATGCTCAACATCACTTGACATCAAGGAAATACAAATCAAAACCACAATGAGATACCATCTCACACCAATCACAATCAGAATGACTAAAATTAACACTCAGGAAAAATTGTTGGCGAGCATGCGGAAAAAGGAGAGCCCTCATACACTACTGGTGGGAATGCAAACTGGTATAGCCACTCTGGAAAACAGTATGGAGGTTCCTCAAGAAGTTAAAAATAGAGCTACTCTACAATCCAGCAATTGCACTACTAGGTATTTATCCAAAGTATACAAATATAACGATTTGAAGGGACACACGCACCCCAATGTTTATAGCAGCAATGTCCACTATAGCTAAAATATGGAAGGGCCCCGATATCCATCAACAGATGAATGAATAAAGGAGATGCATTATCTTCCAATGTGGTGTGTGTACACACACACACACACACACACACACACACACACACACACACACACACGGTCCTGGGATGGGGCTGAGTCAGGCTCCCTGCTCAGTGGGGAGTCTACTTGACCTTCTCCCCCAACCCCTCCTCCTGCTTATGCCCTCTCTCTCAAATAAATAAAATCTTCTTTTTAAGATTTTATTTACTTATTTGACAGAAAGAGAGCGAGCACAAGCAGGAGGAGTGGCCTGCAGGAGGCAGGCTTACCACTGAACAAGGAGCCCAATGTGGGACTTGAGATCCCAGGACTCGGAGATCATGATCTGAGCTAAAGGCAGCCACTTAACCAAGTGAACCACCCAGGCATCCCTCAAATAAATAAAATCTTAAAAAAAAAAAAAAAAAAAAAAGACTGAAACCTTACCATGGAACTAGAGGGCATTATGCTATGTGAAATAAGACGGAGAAAGACAAATACCATATGATTTCACTCATATGTAGAATTTTAAGAAACAAAAGAGATAAAAAAAAAGGGGAAGGGAAAGAAAAATAAGATGAAAACTGAGAGAGAGACAAACCATAGGAGATGCTGAATTCTGGGAAACAAACTGAGGTTTGCTGGAGGGGAGGTGGGTAGAAGGGATGGAGTAATTGGGTGATGAGCATTAAGGAGGGCACTTGATGTAATAAGCACTGTGTGTTCTAGGCAACTAATGAAACACTAAATTCTACCACTGAAACTAATTTTTTTAAAAAAGCAGTCAACTATCCACCACCCAATTCAACAAGTTTGAAAACTGCTGTTATTACTCCAGATCAGTTTATAAACAAAGTACCAGAGATATAGTTAAGAGATTACCACTATCCTGAGCTTGATATTATTCCCAAACACATTTCTCTATTTTTACTACATATGTGGATCTCCACAAATTATAGACAATACTGTTTCACTTTTTTAAGTTTAAAAAAAAAGGTGTCATATCATACTTATTAGTCTCCATCTCACGTTGTCTTTTGTTTATAAATGCTGATGCACATAAAAGTTCACTAAGTGCCAAATAATATGCCATTGTATGTAGGTTCCTTAATTGTAACAAAGGTAACACAGAGTGGGGGTGATGGGATGTTGATAATGGAGGAGGCTATGCCTATGTGGGGGCAGGCAGAAGGTCTGGATCTTCTGTTCAAATTTGCTGTGACCCTAACCTAAAACTGCTTTAAAAATTTAAGTTTTTTTTTTTAATACCACTGTATGACCATACCACAATTTATCAATCTACTGTCCTTCCAGCAAACACTTAGAATGTTCCCAGTATTACACATTAAAACAATCCTGCAGTTTTCGTATGTCTCTTCCCAAGCCTTCGTTGGGCTTTATACCTAAGAGTGAAATTGTCAATATTAACAAAATACTCTCCAAAATAGTTGTACTGACTATGTGACAGCCAGCGTAGAAAGTGCTCATGTTTCTCTGCCTCCTTACCAATAAAAGTTGGTATCGTCAAACTTTAGTTTCTGCCAGCATAAGTGCCAAAAGGTATCTCATTACTTTAATTTGCATATCCCTGATTACTAGTGTGACAAGTTGCAACAATTATCCTATCATTTGTCATTTGCACTATGTCGCTTATTCGTTTCTGGGATTTTTTATTTTTTTAAGATTTTATTTATTAATTTGACACAGAGAGATCACAAGTAGGCAGAGAGAGAGGGGGAAGCAGGCTCCCTGCTGAGAAGAGAGCCCTATGCAGGGCTCAATCCCAGGACCCTGAG